AATCCTGCTGCGGTCTTAGTTAGAAAGTCGACAAGAAGGGGAAAAGACTCGTGTCCGCGAAACAGAACAAAACCGAAAAGACAACCACTGTTGCCATTTTGATGGTCAAAAGTGAGCAGAGATATTGCTTTTGTTGCGCGAAGGATTGTGGCCGTAAACAGGCTGATTTAACAACAGGACGGGAACGTCAGTTGACGACGGGAAAGCGCGCGGAAAGGACTGAAAACGACTTCCGGTGCCCAATTTGCCGCTCTGCTATTGGTCAAGCGAGTTGTTTAATTTGAGCGCGCCGTCGTCGACTGACGTTCCCGGTATGTTGCAAAATCAGCCTAATGTCTTGCTCACATGAGACTTTCCCAGTATAGGTGATGCTCGATCTCGATTGGTACTTTCGAGGATCGGGCCTTGTTACTGCTCCCGTTTGGGCACTGGCTGGCGGCATAATCCTGGTCGAAGTAGCAATTTTTCTCGCTGCTCCGTTCCGCCAGGCCGTGATGGGTTTCTTATCTTAAACTGGAATTTATTTTGTACGCAGGTATGGCATCATTGTCATCGGGAATCCCAAGATTTTGTCCCGGGTAAGTTGTGTGGCTAGTGATGTGAGCTTTCATCTAGAACAAGACGTCGATGCATTAATGAACTTTGACAGTAAAAGCTAAAAATTCTATATTTTTTCTCTCTGATTGTTACTTACGTATCATGTTTTTCTCTTCAACTTGCAGCAACCCCTGTGGAACCACCTGCTGAACTACTACAAAGAAAACAAGGCTTTGGTGGAAGGTGAGTCCTGTGCATGTGTGGTCTGCGTTTTCTGTAGTAATCCGGGAAGCCAAAAACGTGCAACCTGTTTTGCAACATTGCTGCGAAACGAGTTGATAGCGATGTTGCGCGTGTTACCACTCACGTTCCAACCTGTCTCGCAAGAAGTAAGGTTACAAGGTTTTTTTTCTCGTGGGTGGTAAAACGCGCAACATTGCTATTCAACTCATTTTGCAGCAAAGTCACCAAACAAGTTGCACGTTTTTTGTTTCCCGTTTTACCCGTAACTCAAGTGGTACATTTTGTTAACATTATGCTTTTCTTGTTCTACAGGACCCTTGAACAATCTGAAGGAGAGTATGATTCAGTTCAGTAAACCAAGGAAGCTTGTCAACCGTACCAATCCGGTAACGAGACTCTTCTCTTCCTAGCGTAAACATAGCAACTTGAAGCAAACAAAAACTCTGTCTCGTCTTCACGTCTCGCTAGTCGTTGCAAACTTTAGGGGGTGTTCCCGGGGTTTCGAAAACAGTTGTTAACAGCCATGGTGAAGTGTTGTAGTAGTTTGCCAAAAGCGAGGGAGACAGCTGTATTCGTAGACTAGTGGTGTGGAAGTTGTTTAGTGTCTCTTTACTCTCATTATGTTATTTGGTCATCGTATTAAGTACAAGTTATTAATGAGTTAACTGTCACTGTTGTACCCCGCATTCAATTAATTTTGTTCGTCATGCTAGCCCGCAAACATGCTAATTGTGGAATTTAGTGCTGGTAGATAGGATAGGAGGATGTTCTCTGCAATGCAACAGAAACCTTACTGATAGATGAACTAATGGTTCTTGTTTCATCAATGTCATCAGGGAGGTCGTTTCATGAGCACCACCATGTTCGATGCGCGCGAGGCCCTAATCCACGGCAGTGTGTATGATCGACAGATACCCCATGCACCCATGGACCCCGCAGCCTTCCACGACGCCTACAGTTACACCCATGACCGTATGGGCTACATCGGTGCCGAGCGGGCCATCCCCCCTGCTGCAGCCGCTAGGATCCCCGTACCCGTGGGAATGTTTATCCCCCCTGTACCGCCCCCACATCACAACTACTTTGGACAGGTATGATTGTTTGCTGTTGGTCTCCCATGTAGTTTTTATTGTTGTTAAAAGCTGTATCACTAGAAAGTCAGTGAAAATGACTGCGGGATGACATGGACTAACTGAGTTTCGCAGATGACCATGGTTTCCTTACGTCGCGAGATATGTTTGTCGGAAGTGCTTTTCAGTTCAACTTTTCTCCGTCAAAACCTTGCTTTTCCCTGAAATCTACCTTTGAATTCATATTTCGTGGCACCACGGCAAACCGAATATGAGTATTTAATTGAAGGTTATAACAGAAGTTAACATTTCTTAGACGTAGATACTAACAATACAAGTCACGTTTCAGCGAAAAATAAGTAAGAAACAACAATACTGTACTTGACATTACAGAAATTTCAGTCAAGAAAAGGCCTTACCGTCTTAGAATTCTTCCATCCTAGACATAATTAGCTGGTTTGTCAACGTAAAAGGCCTTTGAAGGTGACTTTTGGGAACAGACTGCAATCCATATTTCGACTCCTCCCTACAGGAGCCCCGACCAGAGACCGCTAAATTTGGGGTATAGACAATATGCCACGGACTATACCCACTAGACGCACGATTTACCGGCAACGTTATTCCTTTTGTCACGTTACTTGAAATTTAAACCGCCCCATACTTGTAGCGCATATAGACGAACTAAGAACTTTCAGAAATCGACAGCGAGTGTTGACTTCACAGCGAATGTGAGCGCGACAACCTCGTTCCCAGCGCTCTCTCACGAGGATGCGCGAGTGAAAGCACAACTCAACAACGGACTATGTCGTTTTCATATCGGGAAGTGAGTTCGGTCGGAGCCGAAGAGCCGAACTCTGTCAACGCAAAGTGAGCGAGTGACACATTTGCATATTAATATCGGAACCCTTTGGATACTCGTCGGGTATCCACGTGTTAAAAACCGAGTTTCGCGAGGGTTTATGCGAGTTACGTATGGGCTGCCATTCGTTTGATATCTTGGCTAATTGCATGTTGTCGTATCTAATTGTTCTTTTTGTTGTTTCTCCTAGCCTCTCGCTGGTCGCATGCCACATGGCCGTCCCGTTCAGCAGCCCCGTCAACGAAACCAACGAAACCATCACCCGCATCAGCCAATGGCTTATGCCCCTCACATGCCAGCCAGCCAGGCAAGCCAGGTAGGACCAACTTTCTTACAGTACAGACAGAAATTGATGCGAGATATTGCTTTTTTGCTCAATGCTTGAGTTGTTTTCTTCTTGACAGGACGCTTCCCAGCCTCTGTCCCAGGGTCCGCTAACTCAAGGTGGCATGTCCATGAGCCAGCCCATGGCCTCACAGCCCCTGTCCCAGCCGGACTTGTCTCAAGACAGTTACCTAGGAGACGATTTCAACCTGAAATCCCAGGCAGACGCGGTTCTTTCCCAGGACTCCACCTACCAGGGGGAGAGGGGAGGTTACATGAACTCCCTACCAGACTACTCCCAGCCAAACTATGCCTCCCAATACTGAGGTATCAGCCTCCTGGCTGATTAGGGGGCGCGTCACCACCTGATAGCTGTCGCCAAGGCAACTGGCATGGCAACGCCTTGCGCTACACCCTTGTAAGCTCCCGCAAAGAAGGGTGTTACAGTCACTCACCTGAACCATTGAAGACAAACGAGAGGAATGAGAAGAGGAGATGAGAATTTTTCTTTTGACCGCTTTTACAACGGCGAATCGTAATGGTTTTGACGCCGCGTAAAAAATACGGTTATTGACCTGTGACTTATGTAGAGGATACTTGGACTTCATGTTCCAAAGTGTCGCAAGTTTTATACTGGACTGTCGAATTTAGCAAGATAACAGCGGAGAAGAAGCAGCGATATCGTGATCACTCTGACGACTGAAGTTCTATAAAGGCTATTTTTTTTTCTTTGCCTACCTTTCATCTGTTGATTTAACAGCTCCTGGT